TCATAAAATTTCTTTCTAAATAATATAAACATAGGTATTTAAATAATTTAGAGATAAGTGGGATAAGTTAAGGTGCGTGCATTATATTTAGACACACCCTATAACTCGTAAGACATTGATTGGTAAACAGGGAATATGTTAAATTTTATTCTCTGAAACCATATTTTATTTTACAGAAAGCTTTTACTCAGTCTGTCCTGAAGTATTAAGTCGTCATATTGCAAAACGTTGTAAAAATAAAATCGTATTGGATCCTTTTTGCGGAGCAGGTGGCAATATAATCCAACTAGCTATGACATGCAAAAAAGGTATTATTAGTACAATGTTATATGATTAGTATAAATTTTAATAAAATTATTTTTATTTAGTTATTGCAGTTGATATCGATCCGATTAAGATAGAATTAGCACGCCATAACGCTGAGGTTTATGGCGTTGCTGATAAAATCGAATTTATAGTTGGTGACTTGTTTGAAATTTACCCAACGTTAAAAGCTGATGTTGTTTTCATGTCGCCACCATGGGGAGGTCCAGAGTATTCGAAAAATAAATATTATAGCATTGAGTCCATGTGTTCGGATAAGCTTGGAGGAGGTTTTAGTATTTTTGACATTGTCAAAACTATAGCACCCAACATTGCATTTCATATGCCAAAAAATACTAATATATTTGAAGTAAAACACAATATCATCAGTGTGTTAAGTTTAAACTAAATTTTATATTATAATTTTTCAGTGTATGTGGTTGGGAAGTGGCTTTGGAAAAGTTGAAATTCAACAGAATATTATTAATGGTAAGTTGAATTCACTTACTGCATTTTATGGTAACTTCTACTGGAGTAACTGACAGTTGTCAGTTAATTTATTTTTTTATTGTTTATTTAAAACCCTGTTTAAAATTATTATTAATTTGTTTATTTAAATATTGATTACAATTATTATGAATTTATTTTTTTTATTGTTTATTTAAAACGTTGATTGCAATTATTATGAATTTGTTTTGTTTATTGTTTATTTATAACATTGTTTATAATTATTATTAATTCATTTTTTTTATTGTTTATTTAAAACGTTGATTGCAATTATTATGAATTTATATTTTTTATTGTTTATTTATAACATTGTTTAAAATTATTATGAATTTATTTTGTTTATTGTTTATTTATAACATTGTTTATAATTATTATTAATTCATTTTTTTTATTGTTTATTTAAAACGTTGATTGCAATTATTATGAATTTATATTTTTTATTGTTTATTTATAACATTGTTTAAAATTATTATGAATTTATTTTGTTTATTGTTTATTTAAAACATTGTTTAAAATTATTATGAATTTATTATTTTTATTGTTTATTTATAACATTGTTTATAATTATTATTAATTTATTTTTTTTATTGTTTATTTAAAACATTGTTTAATATTATTATGAATTTATTTTTTTTGTTGTTTATTTAAAACGTTGATTGCAATTATTATGAATTTATATTTTTTATTGTTTATTTATAACATTGTTTATAATTATTATTAATTTATTTTTTTTATTGTTTATTTAAAACATTGTTTAAAATTATTGTGAATTTATATTTTTATTGTTTATTTATAACATTGTTTATAATTATTATTAATTTATTTTTTTTATTGTTCATTTAAAACATTGTTTAAAATTATTATTAATTTATTATTTTTGATTATTTAGAATAAAGTTATTTTCTTCATTATTTAATGTGTATTTTACTGTAAAAATTAGTAATTTATAAAATTATACGATCATTTAATATTTTAAATTAAAAAAAATGTAGAAAATTAAATTATGCCAAAGGTAACAGGATGTAAATCAATTTGTAATATTATAATTTTTGACTTTTAGTATAACAATATAATACTTAAATTTCCTTAAATATTCCAGTTGAAAATGAATAAATAAATAAATTACTTAATAGGCCGTTTTATACATTTATGAATGTATAAAAAAATCTTTATTTATTTTTTAGATTTATTTCCCCTTCCCCTAGAAAATCGTTTAGGGATGTCAATGTCAAAGTCTAGGGATAATCATCGAGCATCGCGTACAACTCATTAATGTATCTCTTCGGTATGACGATCAAAATAATATCCTAGCTTAAATAATAAAAAATAATAATAAATAATAATTAAAAATAATAAAGTCATTATAAAGTACCTACAGAAATGTATTTAGAGAAATCAACTCCGATAACATTCATTAAATCGACTATTTTTTTAGAGTTAAAGTCATTAAAATCTAAGCAGTTAGTTTTTTACGTTGATTGTGAAAATAAAATCAGGAACGAATTTATTGACTGCCCTGAATAATTTTTACAAAAACTCTGTTTGAATGCACTCTTTAATTTCAGGCATAGTGCATCCTTTGTTTTAAATTATTTATCTAATAATATCTTATAACCCAATGTGCTGTTACCTACCTAATTATTGTGTAATTAAGACAAACATTTTTAGTTTCTTTTCATTATTTAAAAACATGTATACAATACATGTTTGAAAGATTATTGAAGTGAAAACTTCTTTAGGCACGTTGGGCACCCCGTATAAGAAAGCATTTGTGAGTGAGGAAAAAAGTATGATCTCGCGACACCGCCACCGCCACCGCGATTATATATATGTACTGTGGTATATACATTAGTGTATCAAAGCTGCGCTCGCAGCAGACGGCAGTTACGGGAAAACAACAACGCCCGATTGTATCAGTTTTAGAAATTGGCGATGATGCTGGCAGTGATGATGGTGCAGGAGTTGGTGAAATGATGGATGGAAATTGATTTTTCTGAGTGTACTGTAACTCATTTTTATAAGGCATTTGTAATAATTTTTTTTCTTCTATGTAAAATAACTGAAATAATTATGTATAGTATTTTATATTGATAAATAAAACAATTCGTGGTACATTATTTCCTAAGCATTACAAAATTTTTAAAAACGAAGTGAAATCGTTCTAGTATACAGGCACGTATCCAGGGGTCCATGGGTCTGGACCCCCCCCTCGAAATTTTTGTGCATCTGCAAATAAAATCATTATCCTTATAATTTAAATTAAAATAAAATACGTGTTATTTAAAAAAATGTTATTGTGTTGTGGTACAAAAATAAAGGGTGCCGGTTGCCTGTTCGGCGGTCATGTGTTCGGAAGTCATGTGTTCGAAAGTTCGTGTCATCGCAAAATTGAATCATAGAAAATCCATGTGTTCGATAAGTCATGTGTATGAAAGATTATTTGTTAGAATTTGAAAACAAAACTGTTAAACTAATTTGATCTAGAACGTTGTGCGATATATCTCACACAGAAAACAGGTTTTTCATATTGTGTGAGCAAACGATAAGCAATCGATAAGTATTAAAATATGCGTTATGCGATTTTACTAAACATGTTAACATTTTATCTAAAATACGTTGTAGTTGACAAGAGTATAGTCAGTATAGTACGACGTACGCAATTGATTATTGTTGCTGAGAACTACGTGATTTTAAAAATGAACATCGAAATTTTAAATAGTATTCATGGTGGTGTAGTTTTAAGTATTAACAATTATTTATATATAAAAAATAAAGACTACATTAGAAAAATAGACGATCAACATATTTTTTATTGGATTTGTGTAAAACAATGTGGTGCAAAAATTCGGACTTTTTGTGAAAACAGTGAACATTATATTGACAAAAATTGTATTTTTTCTGAAAATCACCATTCTCACGGAGCTGATCCAATAAGTATAGGAGCAAGAAAAATAAAAGAAAATATAAAAAAAAGTGCCCGATAAATTCAAGATAGACCAATACAAATATACCACGCTGCAATCGCAGGAACGTCTCAAACAATAAATTCTCATGTCAGTAAAGAAGCGGCTCGACAAATTATTAAACGTCAAAGACGTAATGATGATGTTTATATGGAGCCACAAACTGCAGTCATAATTGACTTACCATTATATTTGCGTGAAACATTATCAGGTAATCCATTTTTAGTAAAAAAAACTAACGAAGTTTTATTGTTTACAACTTATGAAAATTGTACATTTTTACAAGAATCGAACTGTTGGATAGCAGATGGAACTTTTAAAGTATGTCCAAATATTTTTTACCAATTATATGTTATTCACGGTTTAATAAAGCGAGGAAATGATACAACACAACAAATTTTTGTTCCATTTGTATATGCTTTAATGACTTCAAAAACAGAAGAACTTTACGTAAAAATGTTTAAACTTTTAATAGAATTCTGCAATGAAAATAATAAAAAAATTGATGATAATCAAAATTTAAAATCGTCACTGATTTTGAAAAAGGTGCAATTAATGCATTAAATGATATGTTTCCTCTCGCAACACATTCTACGTGTTTTTTCCATTTATCACAAAACATTTTCAAAAAACTTCAAAGTCTTGGTCTCTCTTCAAGGTATTCTAACGATCCAGAATTTAATTTATTATCAAAGCAAATACCTGCCTTGGCATTTTTACCAGCTAATATGGTTAGTATGTAATTATTATTTTTTAATTTTGACACTATTGGGTGGACACTATTGAAACCTTTGTTTAAAACCGAAGAAGAACAACTATTATCACAATATTTCGAGGAAACGTATGTTTTGGGAAAAACCGGTATGCGTTTGAGAGGAAGACCAATAAAACAAACCATACGTAATCCACCAATGTTTCCTCCAGAAATGTGGTCAGTAGCTGACCGTCTAAATTTTGGTTTGCCAAGAACCACAAACGTTGCAGAATCATGGCACAGAAAAATAAATAGACTAGTTTCTCCTAATCCAGGGAAGTTGAAACAGTTTAGAAATATTATATTAATAAAGTTATGATGATTCTTAAAATTATGCTTCAGGTCTATTTAACTTCATTAAGTTAGTACAAAAAGTTCAAAATGAAACAGAGTCAACTGTTGAACAGCTTATACAAGGAAGGACTTCAAAAAGAGCAAAAAAGAACGTCGATGTACAAAATGCTCGCCTTAAATGTATTCAACAAAGAATTTACGATGACGATAACTTAGACAAGTTAGAATTTTTAAAAGGCATTGTACATAATTTAGCTTTATAAATATTTATTTTTATTTTTATATTTACATTTGTCTTATACGTTTATAATTTTATTATAAAGGGTACCTCTAATAATAATATAATTTACCAAATAATATATAATATTTTATTTTCATTAGTACCTATGTGGGTTTGTACTTTGTTTTATTAAATTTTATAAAATACATAGGTATTAGCGTAATTTTAGGTTAGGTCTGACAATTGAAACATAACTATTCGAGCAAACTACCTTTCAAACACATGACTTATCGAATACATGGCTTTTCTATGATTCAATTTTTCGAACACACATTTTCGAACATATGATTTTCGGACAGTTGACCCCCACCCAAAAATAAACCACTATAAAACGGTCGAATATTATTATCTACGAGTCGAATTATATCGCGGACACCCGACGGCCGACACACTGTCACGTCAACAACGTCCTATAACGTCAATTTTTATCGAACAATATTATAACAATATATAATGCCTTAGCCGGTCATACTCTTAAAAATAACATTTTAAAGTATGCTCCTGAATCTAAAAGAACTCGTTTGGTTGGTCTATGTGAAATGAGTTTTATAGAACGACACGATGCTATTAATGTTTTTGTTGAACTTCTTGAGCCAATTATAACCAGTCTTCAAGATATTCAAGAAACAAACCGCTCAGTGCCTCAGTATCCTCAAGTGCATCTTCATTTTTAGCTGTAGTGGAAAAAAGTAGTTTTTTTATTTCTTTGTTAATTTGCGAACATCTTTTAAACTTTACGCTTCCGTTATCGCATTACCTACAAAATCCTGCACGTGACCTTTCATCTGCTATCAACTACGCTCACGACATTATAAATAAACTAATATATTTAAGAAATAACTATATTAAAACATTCTCATCTATTTTTCAAGATGCTAATAAATTGATAAAACTATATTTGATTCAGAAATTGTATGTCCACGCATTATAAAAAACCAAAAACACAGAGATAATTATGATTGTAACTCACCGGAAGAATACTATAGAACATCGATATTTGTACCATCGATAGACGGTTTCATTTTAAGTTTGGAAAACCGTTTTAAACAAAACAATGTTGTTTTGTCATCAATTGAAATCCTATTGCCAAAATTTGCCTTAAACGAAAATGTTTCAAAACTTAAAAATTTAAACATATTTTACGAAGATCATATATCTGAAAAAGTGGCTTGTTCTGAATTTTTATTATGGTGTGAAAAATGGGTAAATGTAGAAAAAAAACCCACAGAAATTATGGATATTTTGGATGGATGTGATGCAAAGTTTTACCCAAACATACATTTTTTATTGAAAACCTTGGCAACACTACCAGTTTCTACAACAGTAGTTGAACGCTCATTTTCAACACTAAAACGATTAAAAACATTGCTTCGTAACAAAATTGGAAATGAGCGTTTAACAGGACTTGCTCTTCTGTCAGTACATTCGGAAGTGTTTATCTCTACAGACGAAGTGTTGGATGTAATGGCTAAAAAAAACAAATTAATATTATAGACCTCACTACATCAATTGAAAATTTTAAATAATAATAGATTGTATTTTGTATTGTATTGTTACTTGTGACTTAATTTAAATTTGTCAGCTTATAAAAAAAACAAAAGGTTTTATATATCAATTAAGGAATTAAGCATAAAAATTTTGTACTAGCATTTATTTCGACCCCCCCCCCAAAAAAAAAAAAAAAAAATCCTGGCTACGTGCCTGCTAGTATACATACACATAAACGCTCACACTTAAGTATAACAGTATATACCACAGTATATATATATACATGTACTCTCGGTGGCGGTGGTGGTGTCGCGATTTCATACATTTTTACTCACCCGCAAATTCTTTCTTAAGGGGTGTCAACGTGCTTAAGAAGTTTTCACTTCTACCGGCAGTCCCCCATCTGGTTTTTTTTTATATATTTTTCTTTACTGTAATATTTTGTTATACTTACTCACCGTACTTAAACCCCTTGGGAAGTTTTTATGTATTTACTTAGTTAATAGTTAATACTACTATTATTATTTATGGTTATATTGATGCCACCGACCAATAGAATAATACCTTGTTAAACGTTTCGCGTATATCATTTAACATTTTACAATAATATAGTGTATAATATACAGATCACCAGGGCAACTCAAATATACAAACGTATATGATAGTAATATAATAATAATATAAATAAAAATATTTATTGGCAACCCATATCAGTGTGAGGTAAAAGGTTCTATGTCAAAATATCTATTGTACGGGAGAACATTTTAAGGTTTGTGTATAATATTTTTATCATATAGGGATAATTGTTTTATAAATTATATCAAAATAAAACAGTTTTCTACTAATATACTAACGCGAATATAGTGCATCTCACTATTTAGTTGATTCGCTAAAATAAAACAACAAAAACAGTTTAGAGTAAAAGGTTCTATACAAAGACTATTTTACTCACAAATATTTAATGCATTTATGAAGAACCTATTTATCCTATAGCCCATTACACAATTTTGATCAGATCAGCCAACATATTAAATATTTGTAGAGTCCTCTTCTCAATTCATTTTAGCGACCTGTATTTCAATTTATTTTATTTAATTCTATAATATTGCTCAAA